TCTCATGTTTCTATCGGTCCTGAGAAAACTTGAGAGAGAGAGAAAGAGAGAGAGAGAGAGAGAGAGACAGAGAGACAGAGACAGAGAGAGAATGTCTCCTTTGTGGGGGCTTTAGTGACTCCATCTTGGTTTGATGGGTCAAAATGACATACTTTTTTTGCACAGCTTTGCTGAAATAAGATGAAAGGATGTTTTACCAAGAAAATGGTATGTGTTTCCTCCTTGAGACTAGGGAAGTGGTTTGACTGTTCCTTGAGCCAGAAGTTCCTTCAGATAAATAATTCTGTAACAAATAACTGCAAGCTATCTCATTTGGGTGTGTTGGTTCTTTTCCCCAAGAGGTGGAAATCCTTGGAGACTATGCCATTATGTTATTTGGAACTGGCACATATAAGTCCAGTGTATACCTTCAGAGTATAGGAGGCAGAACTACTCAGATGACAGCAAATGGTGAGACTGTTGCTAACTATAGAGCAGAAAAATTTCTTGGGGACATTAACCTATCAGGAGATCAACTTCAAAAACTGCTCTGAGACTGAGCACTAGGCCCTTGTCTCATCACTGAAGACTGCCAGATGCTGAGCACATATGCATTAGTGATTTTGAGAATGGGAAGTAAAACTTGGTGTTGAGACTCTTGGAGAGAAGGTGGATGAGACATGAGTTTACAGGTGCCACTGCCCAAAGTCAGAAATATGCTTCTTACTAGATGCATTTATTCAGTAATTCACAGAGTAATTTTAAAGCTTATTGAATGCACCATCCCCTTGCAGGTACTGGAAGTAGACTTAGTCCATCATTGCATCCTGCTGTGACTCACAATATGGTAACTGCTACTTAGATATTAATTTTCTAGTATCCAGTAGAAAGGTTATATCAGTTATGATGAAGTGGATAATGCTGCAGGATCTCTTCAAATTTAGAAGAGATTTAAAATGAATCAAATAATTACCTGATAATTGGGTGGACAAATTGAAATTGTCTGTTAACCTCTCTGACTGAACAGATTTTATGACCATGAATAAGTTTCCAGTTTATTTATTTCAAATAGTATTTACATAATTAAAAAAAAACTTAGTTATAATAGTCATATACGAAATGAAGATCTTCCTTTTGCTTTCTTTGGATTTTTTTAAAGCCCCAAGAAATCACATTTTTTTTTAAAGAAAATAGTATTTTCCAGATGATTTTTATTTTGTCAATGTCTCTCTTTAAAAGGGAACATCTTTCATTAGCTCACAACACAGAGGCCATGAAACCATCTTTAACAGTGATTCCAATTTCTTAGACACATAGATAATAGAAGCATTATCAACACAACATAATGAGATGAGTAGAAGAGGGCTGTTGTTTCTGATGGTAAACAACAGGCTTAAAGGACACTAGAACAAAGGACAAAACTCAGCACAGGCTGAACTTTTCCTGTTGTTCAGATTGCATGCCTTTGAAGAGCAATGTGAATTTATTATCTTATTTAGACTATTATCACAGTCTAGCCACCTCTTATTTATAATGTCTCAGATGTCCATTTCCTTATGCATCATCGAGGGATGTGTGGACTTTCCTGACCTTGTAAGGATTTATGCCTCAATGTTTTCATGTGAATTGCATCAAATCCTTTATCTTGGACAGGAATAAATGTTTTCCACTACATAATTTATATATTCCTAGGTAAATCTTAAAATTTTATTGGTCTGTAAAGACAAAAAAAAAGGGCGAAACCTACTAACCAGTAATGGATGAATATAAAGGAATATTGTCCTCTAGACGAAATAAGATAGCACATATGAATTCATAATGCTGCTATAATACAAGTAAGTCCTATGCAAGATCATTTTAGACCAAATCTCTTCAGGGAGTAGGGAGGTGGGCGTGAAGTTCCTCCTCTAGCTGAGAAGTCACTGTCAAATGATGGCTGCTCATAGAGGGAGACACATTTTCTTTAAGAATGTTGCTCCTAGTGAGTCCTCCATACTCTTGTGGAAGAACACATTTCTAAAAATACTGGGCAGCAAAAACTGGGCATTATGGGAAAAAAGACACAAGGGTGTCTAGATCTTAGATAATTTCAGAGAAGAGTTGTCGATAATCTGACCATAATATAGGAAATTCTTGATGAACAAATATAAAAATAGACAAAAACTTATCAGATAATTCCTACTATGCATGACTTTATAATAACAGAGTATTTTCAATGAATATGATACTAGCATGACACATTTAAACATAAGAAAACCTTAAGAAAAGCACAAAACCATAAAGTTACCCCATCTATGGAATTATAAACAACACATGAAATACTTTCAATGGAATATTATAGCTTTAAGGAATATATTATTTTAAGATATTAAAATGGAGTTTGTGGGTTATTTATAGAAACAAAAAATGCTAAAATGAATAAATTTTGAGGTATTGGCTGAAGTTTTACTTAAAATTAAGTAGCATCAGGTGTTTGGGCACAGTCCTTGGCAACCAAGGTGAATAGGCAAGAGAATTGTGAGTTCTATGCCAGCCTGGGCTACAGAGTGAGCTGTGTCTCAAACAAACAGTAATAGACAAAGAGAAAAAAAAACTATCAAAGAATCATAGAAAGAAAAAAAATGATGAAGCACAAATGAAGTACAAAAAGAGAACTTTGAAAATCAGGATAGTTATGTAAATTTATTTATTAATTAATGAAATCAGAAAAATTCCAGAATGTGAAATCTTAAAAATAAATCATACTTTACCTATATGAAGAGTAATCACTGTTTAAAATGAATCTCTCTCTCTCTCTCTCTCTCTCTCTCTCTCTCTCTCTCACACACACACACACAAACACACTGAATACTGTCATCATCACACATCTTATGTCCCATACACCCTCATCTCACTTACTACTCACTACAAATCTTTTTACTATATTTACAACATTTTTCTTGAGTTTTGTGACCTGTTCATCTTAACCATGTCAGCATGGTGATTATAAGCTTAGAACTATTCATTGGAATATAGAGATCGTGATGGTAAGTACACAATTGAAGACAATGTTTGTTCATTCTAGAAACTATGAGTGACCCAAAAACCAGGGGGAGGGGATATGTCAAATCCTCCACACCCACCATAATCTGTGAGGAACTATTTACAGGATTAGTCTATGTGGGCCATGGAGGCAGCCACTGCTGCTGCGAAATCATAATTTGGCTGGATCATTATGATAGGAGAGTTTTTCCATAGATCTTCTCCTTATTTTTGTCTCTTACATCCTTTCTAGTTCCTCCCATTTTATGATTAGCATATTTGTATGCTTTGTGCTTTCTTTATTTGTGTGTGAGATTCTAAGAAATCTTGACATTGAAGTCTTATAGAGCTGCCCAAAATTTCTTCAACATTGCCTCCAAGAACTTCTATCTCACTCTGTCTACTTCAACCTGAGTCATTTATTGAAATTTATGTTGTTATCTATGCAAGACTACAATGTTTACATATTAAATACATTTCAATTTTTGACCTTTTAACAAAACATTCATTTAGTTAGAGATTCGTTTTGTGGAAACAGTAACTAATTTGTCCACAATTCTTTAGGATAGAAGAAAATTACTGTATTTTTCTGCAATATATATTCTGCATTGCAGACTTTATTAGTCCACAAGAAATAAAGGAAAATATACAAACTGAGCTGAGGTTGCTTCTCTAATTTGATGTGTAGAATTGCAGGTTTTTCACTTGAGAAAATGTCAACATGATGTAACAAACCAAATCATACTGTGGATATTTTAGTGATAAGATGACAATATTACTTATTTCTTTACATGTAAAGTAATAAAAATGCATTGTGCTAGCCAAAAGTGTCATTAAGTGACTGGGAGTGAGTGTGGATGCTTTGTCTCCATGGTCTCACTATTTAACCACTGCTGATTGACTCTGTCACTCTCAAGAACTGGGTCACAAACAGAAAACTCTTCCTAATGGAGCACCATGCATTTAGTACATAATCTAGGAGCACCGTACATCCAGTGCCTCATGTAACAGTTGCTCCAGATTGGGAAATTTAAAGACTTTATGTATCTTAAGAATTAAAAAGCAATGAAGATTTTTGAAAAAAAAGAGCTCTATAATTATTCTCGTGAAATTAGATTTTGGAAAATAATTCATTAGTTTTAGGGAAATTTGCTCCCACAACCATGTCTGTCACTTTTCCTCATTGATACCCACTCTAATTCTCAGTTTATGTACATTGATTTGATATCACTAAATTTATCAATGTTTGAACATGGTGATAATACATTATATGGATTTTAGCTTTAATTTTTGTAGGATAAGTTTAAAAATTAATAATAAAAGATAAATCTCAAATGATCCATTAAAGTAATTATATATAGAGAAAAAGTATTCTAAGGTAGGAAATATGATGGAGGAAGGTCATTGGCTAATAAAGAAACTGCTTGGTCCTGATAGGTTAGAACATAGGTGGGTGGAGTAAACAGAACAGAATGCTGGGAGGAAGAGGAAGTGAGCTCAGACAGATGCCATGCTCCCCTCTCCTGGGCAGACGCAATGAAGCTCTGACCCAGGATGGATGTAGGCTAGACTCTTCCTGGTAAGCGCACCTCAGTGCTACACACATTAATAGAAATGGGCCAGGCAGTGTTTAAATAAATACAGTTTGTGTGTTGTTATTTCGGGGCATAAGCTAGCCAGGCGGCTGGGAGCAGGGTGGCAGGAATGCAACCCACAGCTCTCTCAACAGAAATATTTATATTTAGATAGTGTATACATGAAAAGCTTAATAAAATCACTCTGTCAACATTATATATACACATACCCCCACATGTACACACACACACATATGTTATTTGGGGTAGCATTTCTTTGTGCAAGCTTGCCTCTTTACAACTAGCTCTGTTGATTAGGCTGGCCTTGAACTCACAGTTTGCCTGCTTCTCCCTCCCTAGTGCTGGTTAAAGACTTAAGCTACCACTACATTGCTCAAGCAAATCTTTTACTCTTTCAGGATCTGAATGACGAATATGGCAGCAGGTAACCACTGCACAGTGACTGAGTTCTACTTGGCTGGACTCTCAGAGAAACCAGAACTCCAGATGCCCTTCTTCCTCCTTTTCACTGGAATCTATGTGGTCACTGTAGCAGGGAATCTAGGCATGATCACACTGATTGTGCTCAGTTCCCACCTGCACAACCCCATGTACTATTTCCTCAGCAGTCTGTCCTTCATTGACTTCTGTCAGTCCACTGTGGTTACTCCTAAAATGCTTGTGAGCTTTTTGGCAGGGAAGAACCTTATCTCCTACTGTTCGTGCATGATTCAGCTCTATTTCTTTATCATTTTTGGCATTGCAGAGTGTCACACACTAGGTGTAATGGCATATGACCGCTATGTAGCCATCTGTAACCCCTTGCTTTACAATGTAACCATGTCCTATCAAATTAGTGGTGCCCTGATTTCAGGAGTGTATATTTTTAGTGTGTTCAGTGCTTCAGTTCTTACAGGCTTTGCATTAAAAACTCAGTTCCATGAATCAGGTGTGATCAACCACTATTTTTGTGATCTTTCTCCCCTCTTGAAGCTTGCATGCTCTAATACCTATATCAGTGAATTGTTGATTCTAGTTTTTGGTACAGTGAACATCTTTGTCCCTATTCTCACAATTATTACATCCTATATCTCCATCATTACCAGCATCATGCGTATCCATTCCACTGAGGGCAGGTCCAAAGCCTTCAGCACCTGTAGCTCCCACATCTCTGCTGTCGCTGTCTTCTATGTTTCTGCTGCATTTGTGTACTTACAGCCATCATCAGTCAGCTCCATGGACCAAGGGAAAGTGTCATCCGTGTTTTATACTACTGTTGTTCCCATGCTGAACCCATTGATCTACAGTCTAAGGAATAAGGATGTCAGTGTTGCCTTGAAGAAAATACTTCAAAGAAAAAATTTTATGTTTCAGAAATAATGTGAAGATAATTTATTAAAGTTATCCACAAATACATAGTTTGAATTGATAGAATTTATTTTATTATAGTTGCAAGAATTATTACTCATTTGCTAGGATACTTTGATAATTTTTATAAATATAAATTTCAATTTTTTATGCACATAATATTTTTTTTCATAGGATAAATAATGTAAACCAATATTAAGGATGACAAGAATTCATATGCCCATAATGTTTAATACATTATGCTATATATGTTTTTCCTTTTGATAAAAATTACTTTAAAATTATTAAACTGCATTCTCAATTACAATAAACCTGATACTTTTTTATTTTTTATAATTCATTTTTGTGACCTTTATGTGTAAGTGCTGTAATTACATCGTTTGCCCCATCTCCCTCTAAGCACTCCTGAACTCCCCCTGCTCTCTGTCCAATGAACGGCATCCTTTCCTTGAATTCATGTGTGTGTGTGTGTGTGTGTGTGTGTGTGTGTGTGTGTGTGTGTTAATTCATATATATGAGGAGGATTGTCAACAAGAATACGGTTGACTGAGTTTTCTGTTCTGCCTGGTTATCACAGTTGTTAAGTCTCAGAAAAATCATACAGAGGCCTACATTAACTATAACTGACTGGCCCATTAGCTCAGGATTCTTATTAACTCTTAAAACTTATACTAGCCCATTATTCTAGGATGTTAGCCACATGGCTTGGTACCTTTTTTCAGTGAGGCAATCACATTTTTCTTCTTCTGTGGCAGACTTACAACTGCAGAAGAATGGGCTTCCTCCTTCCCAGAATTCTCCTATTCTCATTGACCTGCCTCTACTTCCTTTCTTGTTGTTCCACCTATACTTCCAGAAGAATTTCAGTTATTAATTCAGAGCAAAGATTAGCACAGTTAATTTTACTCCAACAAGTCCAGAAAAATAATGCTTATAAAAATGGAAAAAGAAGGGAAGTAGGTCTTGACTCATCAAATGTTTATTGGCTCTGAGCCATTGGATCACAGAGACCAGAATTAATTTTATTTATTAATGGAAAGTTTTTTAGGCCTGCTTGACACAGAAGCAGACATGTCTGTAATTGTGGCCAGTCAATAGTTCTTCCATGTGGCCTATGCTGGAGAAAATTACTCAGTTCTAGGGAATTGGACAGACTCAGAGTCTCTAGCAAAGCAGTGATGAACTAAATTGGAGAGATAAGAAGGATACAGTGGGATATTCATACCTTATATTGTTCTGCATCTTCCAGTAAATGTTTGGGGCTGAAACATGAGTGAAGTGAAGGTTTATCTGTATAGTCCCAATTAGTTAATTTCAAATCAAATGCTCCAACAAGGATTCTTGCCCAAGAATTGATCCTATCAGGCCTAGCAAGAGACTTCCCAAAGCATGATGGAAACATTTTTAGGAGAGGTCACTGCATTTTATGCAGACCCCACTATTTGGAAAAGTGAAGAGCCTGTGTGGGTTGATCAGTGGCCTCTAACTCAAGAAAAGATAAAAGCCATGCAGCAGTTAGTTCAAAGCCACATAGACCCTTCCAATTGAACTTGGAATTCTCCTATATTCATAATTAAGAAAAAGATCATGTAAATGAAAATTGTTACACGATCTTACACAAATTAACAGATCATACAAATCATGGGTGCTTTGGAAAGAGGATTTCCTTCTCATTCCTAGATACCTTTAAGGTAATTGTGTATTTGACTGATTGTTTTTATACCATTTCTCTTGCTTTGGGGGATTGTAAAAGGAATACATTCAGTGTACCATTGGTGAATTTTAGAAGTCTATGGTCAGGTATCATTGGAAAATTTTACCCCAAGGGAGGACAAATAGTTCAACTATGTGTCAAAAATTTCTGGCTCTAGCAATTCAACCTACTAGGAAACTGTAAGATCACATTTATATGATTCATGTTATGGATGATATTTTGTTATCTTGTAGGAATGGAGAGATACTTTTAGCTGTCTGTGGGCACTTGTAAATATCTCTACAAGCTACATGACAGTTCATAGCAACAGGAAAAATTTAAAGACAACATCCCTTTCAATATTGGGGACATGTATTGTATCCAAAGGAGGTTAAACCACAGAAAATAGAAATTAGAAAGTACCAGTTGAAAACTTTGAATGATTTTCAGAAATTATTGTGGTATATACAATGGTTGAGACCATATTTTAAAATGGCCACAGAAAATCTGAAACCCTTATGCAACATTTTGAAAGGAGATTGTGATCCTACATTTCCCAGGGAATTAACTGATAAAGCTAGACAAGTTATTGATCAAGTGGAACAGGCCATTCAACATCAATATCAACAAGTTCAATATGTAGATTATGAGATGCCCTGGGTAGGTTATATCCTGCCTACAAAATGTACATCGACAGTGGTCATTTGGTAGAATGAACCATTACTATGGATTAATCTTCCAATATTTCCCATGAAAGTGTTGAACCCATATTATAAGGCAAAAAATTAGAATGGAGTCTTGCTGATAAGTCAGGAAAAAGCCTGCCTAAATAGGAATTACATAAACTAAATAAGAGTTAAATTAATTACAAAAAAATTAGAATGGAGTCTTGCTGATAAGTCAGGAAAAAAAACCTGCCTAAATAGGAATTACATATACTAAATAAGAGTTAATTTACCTGTTTCAAAATAGTAATTTATAGCCTATAGCATTTGCAAATTTTGCAGGAAAATTGATAGCCACTATCTTTAAAGATAAGTTATTATAATTTTCTCAGACATATGCATTTATATTTTTTAAAAATCGTGGTGGTACCACAACATATAGCACAGGATGCTCTAGTATTTACAGATGAATTCTATAATGGAAAAGCAGCTTGTTATTAATTCAAAAAGAATTTGCTGTGCAAACCACACCTGTTTCAAGTCAACTAGGAGAGTTTGATAAGGGATACCCTTCTGTATGCTGTGAATATGTCTTATTACCTTTGGTTAATAAAGAGGCTGATTTGTCCAATAGCCTGACAGAATACAGTCAGGCAGGAAGTCCAAACAAAGATGAAGGGAAAAAGGAGGCAAAGTCAGGGAGACACCATGTAGCTGCCATAATGGTAAGATGTCAGAATATCACTGGTAATTCATGGCCATGTGGAAATACACAGATTAGTTAAAAAAAAAGTTAATTTAAGTTGTAAGAGCTAGTTAATAATAGCCTGAGCTAATAGGCCATACAGTTTGTGAGTAATATTATTTTCTGTTTGATTACTCAGGACTGGGTGGCCAGGAAATGAAAGCGCTGTCTCCATTTACAACAGTGAAGAGTCGTTGCTGTAGTTTTCCAAATTTTAAATAATTAAGCCTTTATTTTGTATTCTGATAGCCATTAAATATTCATAGCTTTACAAGTTATAGAAACATTGCATTATAAATATACTGCCAATCTGGCAGTAAAGGTTTTATTCCAGCAGATTCAAAAGAAACTCTATTTAAGAAAATACCCTTGTTTTATTGACCATATTCGAGCTCATTCTGGACTTCCAGGTCCATTACTTGCATGTAATGTTCTTGCAGATCAATATACTAGGCTAACTGGATTTATTCAAGCTGAGCTAGCTAGACAATCACATGACATTCATCATCAGAACAGTAGGAGTTTAAGAAATCAGTTTCCTTTAACTAAAGAAGCTGCTAGATAGATTGTCAGGCAGTGCTCAATCTGTCCACTGTTTTTTACAGTACCTCACCGGACAGTTAAACATAGAGGACTAGTGTCTAATCCATAATGGCAGATGGATGTAACACATATACCTGAATTCAGAAAATTAAAATATGTGCACGTGGCAGTAGATGCATTTTTAGGATACATGATGGCTATTTCTCAGTCAGGAGAGCCTAAAAAACATTCAATTTCTCATTGCTAAAATGTTTCCCTCAAAGCAGAGTACTAAAACCTTGCAAACCAATAGTTGATTGGGACACATCAGTAAAGCTTTAAAGATATTCTATCATCAGATGTGTGTTAAACATAAGACTGGAATTCCTTATAATCCTCAAGGACAAGAAATTGTGGAATATACTCATGGTGCCTTGAAAACACAACAACAAAAAATAAAAAGGGGGAGTTATATTCCCAGTGACCACATAATATATTAAATCATGCATTCTTTAGTTTAAATTTTTAAAATGTGGATGCAGCAGAAAATTCTGTAGCTAACAGATTTTGGTATCCTACCACTGAATCAATTTTTCCATGTAAAGTGGAAGGATTCTTGCATGGGATAATGTATGGGACCTGATCCTGTGTGATTATGGGTATGACGACATGTGTGTGTTTATCTAGAATGGACCTCAGTGGCTGCTGGATGATTGGTGTAGATGATAGAAGAGCCTCCTAACAATGCAGAGGGAGAATATGAAGGATGATGGAGGGAAGTATTGGGCATATATTTCTAATCCTTTGATATTACATCCGGTTTTGAGAGAAGGGGCGTGGGCCATTGTAGTGTTAATAACTCCTTGCCATTTTGGAGGTATGTTACTGAAACTCCACTAAGGTTCAGCATCTCAGAATATTCTTGACTGGTTGGGGAATCAAGGAGATCTTAGAGTGGCTTCTGGCCAACCAGAAAAAGGAATAATGACAGGACTCTGGCATATTGGTCCAGGAACACATAAATTGTGGATTTGGAAGCTTGCAGCTGCTGTGGGAGTTTAGTCACCTGGACTGGCAAAGGGAAAGATTTAATGTGTCATGGTTTACCAGTTGTGTTGACAAAATACCTATGGGTACCCAGGTAATGGTTTTTCAATGGCCTCTTTTTGTTATGCCGCTGACACTGCAGCAGATATTTTGAGTGTATCAGGTCCGTGAAATGTAGATAAGGGACTTAAAGTCTTAGATCAAATGAAAGGGGCTTTGAATAGGTCAAAACGAATGATAGGTTTGGGGACTGCATATGTTAAGAATGACTTGACAAAAAATGTTACTGTTGCTCTGGTTACTAAGGTATAGAGCTGAAGTTGAACAAAAGATAGAGGCT